GGTCTTGGAACAGTAGTGGAGTCAAGACTACCTGGCGTTTCTGTCTTTTTTGTTCTCTTACTTGTAGTTTCAAATTTTCATGTTTTGAGAATACAGATATGTCATGCTCTATATGTCGTTGAAGTTCCTCTAGACTCTTAATGGACGCGAGCTTCTTCAGTGTACTCTCTGATGCGTAAGGTGAATCTTTCCCATAGAGAAGATAAAGTTGTTTTTTGTTCATAATGGAGTACCCAGTTGCATTCATTTCTTTGATCTGCAATTACTGCCGTCTCTTCAGTGTCACGGGCGAACCATTACTTCCCCTCCTACAACTTTAATTTTTCTCTAGAATGTTACCTGTTGAGCATTCAAACTTTTATGAAGGCGTTCAAAAGTTTCGATTCTTCTGCGTCCGTCATCACCGTAAATTTCAGTGGCGTTTTCTTTTGTAAAGTACATCGGTTGTCCATCAATTCCTTTCATGTTTTCAGATTTTTTCAAATTCTAAACAATGTTCAGCTCCAGTTCGTCTCATTCAGCAGTTCAGTAAAAGACAATATCTAAACACTAACTTCAGCATCTTCTACTGCGTCTGTAATGCCGGTGGCTTCAGCAATTAGATCTATTAGCTCCTGGTGATCTTGTTTTTGCAGTAGTTTGCTGTTTTTAAGCAGGTGTGGAATGCTAAAATTTTTTTCTTCTTCTCTACCTTCGTCATGCAGACTGAATAATGACGGTGACAAGAGGTTGATCTGAAATTTTCAATATATAGCTTTTTTTTCGAGTTGCGATACGCAGTTTTCCCAAACATTTTAGGCAAATGAGAGGAAAGCCGAGTCACAATTAAGTGTTTGTTGGAGTACGTTTATCCGAAAAACTGAACTAACATTATTGTCGCTGTCGTCAGGGACTATAGAGAAGAATCGCGGGGAGGCAAACTTAATGGTTTTCTTGTCATAGTCACTAATGTTTTGACCGGCAATCGCCATTCCTAATTTAAGTGCATTCCGGACAAGGTAGGGCGTATCAAGCGAATCCTTGCCCTTCATATTTCGATATCTTTCAAATTTTGCTCTTAAAATCTCAGGCATTTTTTGGAGAACCTCGTCTTCCTGCAAGATTCAATTACATTAGCGGATTGAACGTTCAGCGGCAGCGATCTTCAAGGAGGTTTATTTGGGAGGTTTTAGTGCAACTGACAGCTTGCATTCTGAAGCGGAATTTTTTTGCTATTTTTTTCACCTAAATAATGTTTTTGTTACAAACATCAAAATACACATGTTACATGAACTTTATAAACTTGGTTTTTTTATCTCCTTTTAATATTTTATTGTTTTTGGAAATAAAGCTATTTTTACTTTAGATCTCAAAATGTAAGTTAACTAAAGGTTCTGTTATCCAACTACTACGGGCTTTTATCAGAAATTTGGTGGAAAAACGGAAGAAAGTTTCTCATATTATTTAAATTGTTAATTATAAGTTGTTTTATAGTAAGATAAATCAGCTGTTAAAAGCTCGAAGTCTTTACCCCTGCTTTCGAATGTTTCTCTTCCCGAAGAAGGTCAATTTGTGACGGTGGGCTTCTGAAGAGTTCAGTTTCACTGGTTATGGACTTTGCGAGTTGTTTTGCGCGCGCCATGTCTATTTTCCATCTGCAAGTTGAGTTTTTCAAAGATTGGCAAAACTTTTTTACACGTAAACGGCTTCTGGCTTTCATTTGAAAGTGCATAACTTAATCATGCAGTATGATGTTGCTGAAAAATATATATGGAACAATTTCGCGAAAAAACCGTTTCTGGGAGGTGCAGCAACGAAAACTAAATCAATGTTAAACTTACGATCCATCTCTTCCCTTGTTTTTCATTCGCCGAATAGTGCGAGTAATTGATTTCATAAGAATTCCTACCGGGCTCTGAATTTCGTTAGCTGACAACAGATCGTAACTGTCTTGTTTCACCACATTTATGCTTGGTTCAGAAAGATCATTAGTCTTTGAAGCCGCTGTCGTCGATCTTAGGCTGTTATGAACTTCAAATTTACCGACGGTATCACGCAGGCGACGCCTAAACGACTCCTCATCTTGGGTTTTCTGATTTACTTTTAATTGGTTGTAGTCCTCCTGTTTTCTGTACTCCTGCTTCAACTCTGCAAGATTAAGATTTTTGTCGGTCGTGTGCACCTGAGTTATGCTCGGAGGTTCGGTTACAAATGCCTCTTCTATAATACTTTTTTCTGCCTTCAGAGACTGCTGATCTGTAATTTGGGCTTTTCAGTAGTACCGTATTTACTGCCAGATTATAAACTAAAACAAGAATTTTGTTAGTGAGAATAGAGTTACCCATCTGGTTGTCGTATTCGTCCATTTTTCTTTTAGATCTTTCAATAGCATTTGTAACGCATTTGGCATGTTTGTTAAGCGTTTTAGCACTTTTTGTACATTTTACGTACATGTATCTTTCGTAAGGTGATAATTCTGGGATGCTGAAATAGTTCGTAACTGTTTTTTTTCTAATAATACTGTAAGGTGTAAAACATTTTGGACAAATTCATTAAATTTTCTGTCTTCTATTCTATTGGCCAAAAGAAAGCATTATTTAGTTTTTGGTTACGACGTTGTTAGTTTACTTTCTTACAGTGAACGAGCTAATAGTTTTGTTATTCAATAAAAGTTGACAGAAAAAATATCGCTGTCAGATGAAAAACCACAGCGACATAACTTTGAAAAACGAAAAATTCATTAATTTTTGTTTTATGATGTTCAGTTTTTTTCTTTGTAGCAATAAATTTCTAAGGTTTTCAAAAAAAAAAGCTGCCTTAGTAGCTTCTTCCACCCACTGTTTACAGCTGTTCAACTGTACCGACAACGATATTAGAAATTAAGTTAGCTAAGCAAAGTTTAAAATAGCCGTTTGTGGAGTTATAATGCAGCTGACTTTTCAATTGTTTTTCTCTAACGACCTGGTGTTTTGGGTTTTCGTAAGAATGGGGTGCTTTTTGTTCAGTAAGTAAGTGAAAAATATTCTGGAATTCAGCTAAATGATAAATAATAGCGTAGGACGCTAGGGAGCAAATTTTCAGCTTAGTACTACGGCTTTTCTAGAGACTCTGAAGAGTGTTTTAAGCTTTTGAGCGCTGCATTGAGAGTGTCCAAGAAGGATGCAAGTTTTTTAATTGACCTTTGAAGGTAATGTATTTTGGAAAGGCCACTGTAGTTCTTAAGAAGCAAAAGCTATAGCTGTCGCAGGTTTTTGTTTACCTTGTAACAGTTTAAAATGAATAAAAATAAGTAATACTCGTTGAGATTCTTTAGATGCACTAATCAGATTTGTGCGGTATTTTAAGACCGATTGAATCCTAAATTCATTTGTGAGTCCGACAGTTCTTTGATTGAAACGGTGGTTGTTCTGTCAAAGAATTATTTTATCTAGCAAAGGTTGTTTGAGAGTTTCCGATTTACATAGAATAAAAAAAAGCACTAATTAATCACTACCTTTTAGTTGCAAATGCTGAGAGAAAACTACTGTAAGCTTGGAAAACCCAGTGTTCAATAAGATCATTGTGAGCATCATCTGATATTGGAATACTAATTTTTTTGCCATCATAATACTTGGCACCCAGCATTGTACTCTTGGTAATGAGCGTGTCTACTTCTGTGAAAAGCAGTATAACGATGAGATATTTTTCCACGGCTGTGGGAAGCATTATACTCCTATAAAATTTGCATAACTCTAAAAGACTTTTTTCAGCACGCATTAGAGCAAATCATTTTAAATAATTCATTTAATTAACAAAATTGGTTAGATAATCTTCAGTCTTCAAAACTTATCGCAATTAAAACTTGCGAAACAGCACACTGACAACAATTCGTTTTTTCAATGCTCAACAGACACCACAAAAACTTTGTTTTAGCATAAAGGTAGAAATTTTCTGGTCTGTTTTATGCTTCTGGTTATAAGTATTTTTTATAATTACGTGGCAAAATTAATTGTTTAAATTGCTTGGCTAAAATGTGGTCTCTGTGGCAATTGGAAATGGAGCGACGAACAAGGACAGTTAAAAAAGCAAATAAAACTAAGAAATTGAGCAAAAAGTGTAGTCATAAAATAATGAGTAGAGCAAAGGTCTCTTTTGAATCTTTTGTTTATTAATAGGCGATGATGCGACCGAAGCGCTGAAGAAAAGTAGTCGAAAAAGTTAGGAAGAGTAAGAAAAGTGAGATAGAATTTCATCTGAAAATCGAGGATTTTTTTCTGGTGTTTTTAGTAAGCTGAGATAGGTTTTACACTACTAAACATTTTTATAAATCAGAAGTTTTGATATCAAGCTAATAACAATAGTTATCACTACAACAAAAGAATTTACAGAAAGTCATACAGTGGCAAAAAAAAAAAAAAATTTTTTTTAGGTTATGTCAGGTCGGCAAAAAGTTGCCTATAACAAAGGAGGACGGTATTACATTTAAGAAGGATATTTGTTGGAGTTGCAGATTTATATTAAGACTTCAACTGTTTTGAGGATGGGAGTGATCTTTGACTGTTGATTATTTTATTAAGGTCAGTGGTTCAACAGCAGATTCTAAGAAAATGAGTAATTTGATAGAGAAAATGTACTTTCTGGCATCGTTTTTTTATCGTCTACTGATTGTTTTGGAGTTTCTCCTTCTGAGAACAATGTGCAATTATGTTGGCGTAGTTTTCGAGATATTACAAATCGAAAGTAAATGTTTTTTGACAATGGCTTTTTTCGTAAACTTTATCACCAGTTAAATTTGATATTTGATCTTAAACAATTTAATGATTTGAATAAATGAATTTGTAAACTATAAAAATACACTATATGAATTACACGAAGGTAGGAGTAAATTTTTTTAGTATTTTAGATTATTTTTCTTTATCGTCGATATGATTTAGAGATTTTGTAGAATTATCTTTCAACTTTTCATCTCTTTTTTTTTT